TGCACTGCACTCTGTCGGTAGTCACTTGTCATGTAATTATTGATTTTGACATTTCAACTACAATAAAATAAAAAATTTATAAGTTAAATATAAAAAAAATTTACTGTATGTATTGTTAATTAATTTTATATTAAATATAAATATTATATTAAATTTATATACACAAATTTTTTATATGGTATGAAAACTTAAATTTTATTATGAAAAACTTGTTATTATTTCACTTGAGAAGACTCAAAATTAAAAATATCAAGTCATATTTAAAGGGACGTATTAACTTATATGATAAAATCTAATATTTATAGTGAGAGTATATTAAATGAAAAAATTTTATATTGAATATAAAAATAAAAAATTTATAAATTAAATATAAAAAAAATCACTTTATTTATTATTAATTTTAAATTAAATATAAATTTTATATTAAATTCATATACACAATTTTCACTAAAAAAAGACTGCAATGCTTCGGTTTGTCGGTAGCCACATGTCATATAATTATTGATTTTGACATTACAATTTATAATATAATAATATTGTAAACTGTGACATGATTCTCGTGGTTTTTTAACCTTAATCAGATGGTATTTTTTTTTATAGAATTGAGTTTTTTTTTTTTTAATATAGAATTGAGTTTTAAAGTTTAATGGTTTGTTTATAAATTTTAATACTTGAATTTAATCAATTAAAGATTTGACTATTACTAACGATTTGAAAAAAAAATTTCATCTTCATAATTCCTCTATGTTTATAAAAAAAAAAAAAAGAGCATGCATATAGCTCTTTATTGATAATTATTGTAATTTAATAATCATAATTTATTTTTAAAAATAGTGATATTTAAAATTTTCAAATTTAACCATCTCAATTTTCAATCCCTTCAGTTTGAATTAGTTAAAAAACTTTCATGACTCTTTGTGGTCAAAATCCCATGAGTAATCATGATATAATTTTTCCAACAATTCTACACCCTTCAACAATGGAGACGTTCGCACCACACTTTATGAATTATTTAATAAGTATATTTAATATTTTAATAATAATTAAGGTTTAAATTATAGTGCTGCTATGCTACAATTTCTCATTCCCTTGCCCTAAATTGTGCCGGTTAATGAAAAAAGAAAAACAATGGAGATGTTTGCAGTCACGTCGCTTTCCCGCTCACCTAATGTGAGTTCTAGTTCAAAATCCGGTCGTCGAAATGGACAGTAAACCTCGCTAAAACCCTAACGAAGTTGCTAATGTCTGATTTTAGTATAATAGTATGAAATTAATGGTTAGTAATTTTATCATAATTGATAATTATAATTATAATTATTATTGATTTAAACATTTTTATTTGTTAAATAAGGTAAAATTATTAATTAATAGTTTTAAATTACTGCCAACAACTTAAGTAATTCAATGATAATTTTTTTTCGTTAAAACTAAGAAATTTTAATTTTAAATCGCGTGGCATGAGAATGAAGTAAGATAAAAGATGAGAAAATTTTGTTTCTCCTTGTACAACCAATATAAAAAAAAAATTTAAAATCACTATATCAAACATTATTATTAACCTTGCGAAAAAAAAAAAAAAAGATTGAAAGAAAAGAAGAGAGAGATGAAGAAAGAAAGAAAGAGCGAAAGAAAGAAAAAAAGAACCTAGATTGTGGTTGACTGACTGATTTGAATGCACAGAGCATGCCATTTTCTATCTACTCTCTGAAGAGTTATCAGTTATAGAAGTTCAGTTGGGTAAGGCTAATATTTGCAATCACCCTCTGTGAATTTTTGTATGGTATTTAACAAATTTACAGTCAAAACAAATATTGAACACAAAGATTTGCTGTGCTCCTATCCCCATATAAGTCTCCCATACATCATATAGTCATCAACCAGTATATATACTCTGTTTTTGCCCTGTTAGCGGTTCACATGTATGTGTGGCAGTGTGGGACTCCCACACAAAAGAGATTGGATTAGAATAAGCTAGACAAATACATATGAACTGTTGATAAATCAACCTAATAAGTTAGTCACTGCAATAGAATAAGACAAAAAGGAAAAACATATATGTTAATGCAACTTAATGTA